TTAATATAATTTAACCAAGTTTTACTTTTACCATTTAAACGTCTGTCTAAACTCTTGATTTCATCTAGCAACCTTACTGTAATAAATAAATTTTATATAAATAGAATAGCTTTTTGTTCAAATTGTAAATTAACTCTATTGCGAGTTTCAATTTTATTATAAGTTCAAGTAATAAATTAAGAAATCAACTTTGAAAAACAATTACTTTTCCCTTCTACATATCCATTATCTAGGATTTGATTGTAAACTACTACACTAACTTGCTTTTGAGTTTATTATTTAGAATAAATAAGTTTTCTACATTTTTTTTAAGTTTCTAAACCTTAAGTTCATAAAATCAAGTGAAGTAATTCCAAGGCATTTCAGATACCTATAGAACATGAGATTCCCTAAGATTGTAAGGTCTGACAATAAAAAACTTACTTACCACAGTAAAATAACTTAGAAAAATATGTGATAAAGAGAATTATTCACAATGATAATGTATATTATATTATATATATTTATTATAGTTATTATATTATTTATATTTTTTATATATTTTTAAATACTTTATGTATTTATTTTATATAAATATACCTTGAGTCTTAAAATACTAAGCTATAGAATTTTTTAAGTAGTCTGAGTATTTTAGTTTAAATAAGTTTAATAAGTTTAGTTTAATGTTTAATATATAATATTTGTATAATACAAAGTATAACAGAGGTAACATTCATTTATTAAGACATATGATTAACCCTTTTAACTCAACTTATAATATATTTATAAACTTATACCTTCTGTTTACATTATTATACTTTTAATTTAAGTAATTTTAAAGAACTGTTTATAATATAATTAATGAGTTATAAAGTTATTAAAGATAAATTTACTTATATTTTTTTATAGTAATTATATATATAAATGTTTTGCAGTAAAAATAGAAAGCACTAAAAAATTTTTTAATATTATATAAATTTACTAAAAAAAATTATATATAACTTATAAAATAAAATTTTATATAGTATATTTCATTAAATCTAATTATTTTAACCTTATCTTTTACATATTTTATATAATTTTTTTTTAATTATTAATATAGTTTCAATAATATTAGTATTTTATTATTTTTAATTATTTTTTAAACTCTTTATTTAATTCATTAATTATTTATTATTAATTGATATATTAAAACAATAACATATACAGTTGAACCTTACTATAATAAATCTTAATTTTTGGAGGTTAAAATTTGTTATATGAGAAAATTCAGTAACATCTATACTGAATTTAATAATTTATTCATTATATAATAATACCAAATATTATATCCAAATTCAGTATATAATAAGTTTGAAATAATGTAAAACAAATAAATTTAAATAATAAATAATTAAATTTACGAAGGTATGCTTACTCTTAGCTTAACCTATAACAGTTGATTCTGAATACCACGTAGAGATGACAAGCTTCATTCAGGTTTTTTTTAATAAAATTCAAAAAAAAATTTATAAAAAAAACCGAGTGAAAAAGGATAAGCGAAAATAATGAATAGATAAAAGAAAGAATGACTAGTTATAAAAAATTATGAATATAAAAAAAAGTGATAATAGTTGAAAAAAATAGTGAAAATAGTTGGAAAAAGCTGATTATTAAGGGTTATTGTGAGGAGTTATTAGGAAGAGGAATTTCTACAAAATTATCTGGTGGTCTTAAAAAGGCTCTCTTTCATAGAATAGAGGTCATTAAAGATAACTCACAGCTTCAAGCCTAGGAAGATGCCAATCCCATTGTAGATTCGAAAATAGCATATGATATAAAAACTGTTAACATTGTTAACGATTGGAGTGTTTCAGAAAAATCAGAAGAAATCGTGAAAACTGTTAACAATATTAACATTCAGAATGCTTCAGAAAGTTCAAAAGAAATCAAGAGCAAAATTGACCAGATCTGTTTGGGACCCATCAAGATAAATCAGTAATAGGACTGAGTATAGTAATCGAATTTATAAAAGGATTATTGGAAGAGCTACTCTCAGATAATGACCAACTTCAAATTATAAAATTTTCTTCTCTCAGAATCCCAATTTTCAGATCAATAAGCATCAAAAAACTCGCCAATTCATTCTGCCAAACAAATAATGTAAGGGAAAAATGATCTCAGCAAAGTAATCAGAGATTACATTATTGTGTTTATTCTCTAAAAGGTTTAAAGATAAAGCTGTGAAACTTAGGTCTAATGATAAGAAACTTACAGATCAGACCGCAAGAAAGCAGATCTATGATGAGATGAAGTCATACCATTTAGGCGTCTCTGATAGATATTTACGTGTAATGACTTGTAAATCAAGAAAGATCAATAAGTCATTCAGATACGAATATAAACCTGTAACTCTGAAAAAGATTAAAAGTATAGAAGAATATATGGTTCAGCAGGTTACTTATAATGCTGACAAAATTTTAAGACTCACTAATCCTCAAATCAAATACATCATAGAACAGGTCAAATTGAAGACAATCACTGATCAGAGTCATGTGAACGAAATCTTCGAGACCATAGCTACTACTTCAACTTATGACTCAGATGATAATTTTAGTGCAATCTTGAATGATACAGTTTACTTTAAGGAAGAAGAAGGGACGAATGAATTGATTGAAAAGGTCTCTAAAAAATCTGAAGTAAGTGCACCATCTATGCCAATACTAGCTGAAGACGATTTGGATAAAATGATCAGGAAAACTTTCGAGGAAAATGAGGCTAGGATAGAGAAAGAAAGACAGAAAAAAATGTAGTAACTTAAACGAATATGGTGAATGTGATAGAGGTTATTACTATTGTAATGGAAGATATGAAAAGAGAAGCAGATTACATACATATTTTTCGATTCATGTGGATAGCTTATATATCATATGCAGTAAGTACATCATAGGTTAACATATCGTAACAGTATGATAGAGTTTCTTATGATTAGCTAAAATTTATCATCTTGGATTTTGTGAAATATTTTATGATTGGTTAAATTTTGTTGCAAATCATAACTAAAATTAAACTTTCATTTTAACGTGATAATGAAAAATATCTCATTTACGAAATTGCAGACCTTGTTTAGTACTTCATTATGATAAAAGCAATAAAAAGTTTTATGGATTTACTAAACTTGCTTTTGAAAAAGCACAAAGAAAAGAAACATTTAGTGATTTTAATTATTTAAAAATTGGTGATTAACTTTATCAAATACATTATAATAATATCATTGAGCCAGACCAAGGTAATACAAGTATACCTTTAAAAGACTTACCAATTTCTAACACAAATGCAAATATTAACTTAGATTTAATGAATAATAATCAAATAAATAAAGGTAATATCAATAATTTTAATTTTAATAAATTTTTATTTAATTTAAATTTATATCTAATAATATTTTACTAGCT